CTAGTCCCCTCTAAAACGGTCCGCGTTCCCCCCACTAGATTCAAATCATCCCCCTAGGTGGCTCCTCATGATTCCACGAAGGAACTGGAAAAAAGAATTACTTTGAGGAGGTAAAAGATCATCCCGACATCTCATCTATACATGCTCTTTCCATAGGGTTGAAAACCATCTCCCTCCACCGGTTAATGACCATGTACTTCTAAGGTCTAAGGGGCTTTACATGGGTTGTAATGACACGGCTTAAGGTAGAGGTTGGAAAAACAATTTGAAATAGTGGCAGTAATCCCTAAGTGAAGCAAGAGGAAGGGCAACCCTCAAGGTCAAAATTCAAGACATAACCATAACTCAAACGAACATCCAATCATTTTGATTTCATTCGCATCACTAACTTTATTCAAGCATATACAAGATAAATCAATTTCTCATATCACTTTTTTCTTTCTTTTTTTTTCATCAAAGCATCACACTTCCCAAGTTTTCTTTCATGCTCAAATTTAGACTTTCATCTCAAGAATTTGCTCCAAAAAAATTTCATCAAAGGTTCATGCTCATATCCACTACACTCTTCATACTAGCCTTACAAGCCCAGTGCTTCAGTAATTAAAAGGGTTGGTAAAACATAGGTCGTTAAGCTTGTAATGGGGTTGAGACAAGAATGGGAAACATTAGGCTCAAATTGGTTGGCAAGGAGGTTGATGCAAAAGAGAAAATCAAATTTTGTAACTAAATAAAAGAGAATATAAATGAAAATGAGAAATGATGCCCTTTTCCTCCCCCAAAAGTCCAAGGTCACGATCTTGGGAGCTAATAATCAGCACAAGGATCCAAACGTGCATAGATGAGGATCCTAAAAACGCCGCTCAACAAATTGGTGAAGGCTTGAACAAAATGAACCTCACTAGGGACGAGAAGAGTAAGCAACAACCAACTAGGGGGCGTCAAATCCACTATGAGGAGCAACTCCATCTTACCACAAACCGTGAACTAAGGGTTCAAATGCCATCACTAGTTCTTGCCTTTGCTACCTTGACTAAGACTCGACTAACTCAATCAACAACAATCTCGAAATGTGCATCTCATCACAAAGTTAAGAACAAAGAAACAAGAATTCTAAGGTGCATCATCACGGAGATAGAGTTCGAATGTAGTAAGCAAGTTCCAAAATACCACTATATCATCATGCCATAATTACGCTTATCACAAATAAAAAAAAAGGAAATGAAACAAAAGAAAGGAGTAAAGAGGGTTCACATATGAGGCATAAAGATTCAAATAAATCCCAATCGACATACAAGTGATCGTTCGGTATCAATACCAACGATCCCAGGTTCCTTGGAACCGCATGCAAACATCCTCAAACCATTCAACTCCTTCCTAGGCTAAGAATAAAAAAAAACTAAACACACCAAAAAGAAAAAAAAAGGAAGGGTCTCACCGAATGCCGCTTGAATTTGGAATGCACAGTCATACCATACTCACCATCGGGTTTGCAATTTGAAGCGCGGGTGAGTTGTTTTTGAAGTTCCTTCTTCAATCTGCATCAGTGAGACAAGGAAAACACACCAAAAAGAAAGAAATAAAAGGAGCATAAACTATATACAAAGGATTACATCTTCCCATCATAAACAACAAAAACAACAGGATATCAAATAAAAGCAGCGGAAATAGACAGCAAGCTAAGATTTCCCCCCCCCCACACACTATAGTGATGCAAGCCCCTTAATATACAAAAGAATCGATCCCTGACACTTATACCCCCCCCCCCCACACACTTAGAAGGAGTAACGACCTCGTTGCTCCAAGACAAAACAAAGGAAGGGAAGGACAGGGGGAATAACCAAGAAAAATAGGGGGCTAGTGCCCACTAGGGCCAGCATCACCGGAGTCCGGCCCCATATCCCCATAGGAGAAGCCGTAGGTGGGCCGTGGGGATCCCAACCTCCAGTGTAGCCTAGAGGCCAACCATAATGACCTCGGAAGAGGTCTTGTTGCCAAGTAGGTAACGGGTCGAATTGGGGGGGCATGGTTAGGGGTTGGGGCTAGGTGGGGTCAACATAGGGGTAATTGGGATCACCCCTATAATCACTACCACCCGGCAACCTATAATCATAGGACCCGGATGCGTCAGGGAAATCATGGCGCACCCTATTTGGCTCGGAAGGTCCTTGCCAATAGGGGTAGGTAGGGGCGTTGTCACCCCCCCCCCCCCCACGATGACACTGGGCCATGCTGGGGAGGCCAATATGGATAATTGACCGGAGGCGTGACATCGCCTCTATCTACATGCATATCATAAATAGACTACTGTTGGAGAAACATACCTTGCTCGGTTTCAAATAGGCTTTGAACACCAAACTAGAGGCTCCCTATTCGCTGCTCAAGGCTTTCCAAGCCTTGGCTTTGGAAGAACTGTTGCTGCTCATGTTGTTGGTGTTGATGTTGTTGATATTGATGTTGTTGTTGTTGATGTTGTTGTTGTTGTTAATCCACCATCGCCTCATCATCCTGCTCAAATACAAGGCCCTCTCCTCGATCAGCTCCAGGAAGGACACCATTGCCCCTCCTAACCTAGTAGATGTTTCTGGACTCCCTTTGGAAGGAGGTAAGATCCGGGTTTGGGAGAAAGCAACGGTGTGCATGAGACACCAACCAATCATAAACTCCCTCTCTAGGGGTGAACGCAATGAATCCCAACCTTTTAAATTGATCAAGATTGAGAAAGATATCACTGCTATTCCCAACCATAGTGCAAGAGGGGAGGAGGTCCCCATGCCCAAGCTTCAGGGCTAACCTTGTTACCATACTCCCACAGGAAATTTCGCCGGTTTTCTTCCCCTTGGCGATTGATAAGCAATTTTTGATGAAGAAGTAGCCCAGGTTCACTCTTCGGCCTAAGGTGGGCTGAGTAGCGAACCACAGAGTGAGAATATCCTCCCTAGACATCTTCCCTAAATCCTGCTTGTTGAAAATAGCGTATCTAAGTATACGGTGCAGGATTCTTAGGGCCGGGTGAGCGATCTCACTAGCTAAGGAGTAGCGGGTGTTGAACTCTTCTTTTCCCGTGATCCCCCTCCATCAATGTCTTTCATTATAACCTTCGAAGGAGGATTTCTCGGGAGCAACAAGGTTAGCATCTGGATTAAAGTCCAGGGTAATGTTGAGCTCTCTCAAGGATAGTGAATGAGATTTGTTGAAAAGCTGGAAGGTTACTCTAAAGTCGTCATCCCCCACAGCTTCACTGGAGAAAGTGGAAAAGAATTCAAGGGTTGGCTCAAGGTAGGTGTTGAATGACGAGCTCACAAATGTACCCAAATTGAGGTTCTCAAAGAGTACCCAAATGTCTTCGTCGACACCCAAGCTTGTGGTGGTAGGACGGTGATAGTGCTTGGAGGGTCTAAGATTCCTCTCTTTCATTTTTTTGTAGTTGGCTTCGTGGTTGTTGTTTTGGAAGGTAAGAGGGGGTAAAGTTGGTTGATTTCGTTTGGATTGGAAAGTTTGGGAGGGTTGTGGTTCTGTCCCACTCTTTGATCGTTTTCTACTGAATTTCAACATCTTCGCCCCAACCACTTCTCAAAAGTTTATACCACAAATAATTTCACACCAAAACACCGAAAATATCAACCCAAACCACAATTCGAAGAGTACCAACCCAAAAATTCAATCGCACTATCAAGCGAAATCCTACAAAACAACAATTAGCACAACGAATACAACAACAACGTAACAAAGTTAGTTAATAGGCAAGGAGCTCATGAGATGTATACATCACCCAAACAATTCTCAAAATTCCCAAACTACTCACACTCATCATGAAATTCATGGCCAACAATTTACACATCATAAACCCACAAATACCTATATCTAACAATTCACAATTCCCTAACTATTTCAAGAAAATCCCAAAAATTGCAAATCATCCACAAGTATTTCATTAGAATCACATATTTGCAAGAATACTCATATACATGTCAATATAATCATAAGAATTGCAAAAATATCACATGTATTTCAATTGAGTCAAAATTTCTCCCACAAACATTACAAATTCAAGAATTCTATCATGAATTCTATCAAAATGTAGTAGAAATTAGGCTTAGGGAGTTAGATATACCTTCTTGAGGATGAAAATTCGAACAAAAACTTCACCGAGGGGGCTAGCTTCGTGCAATAGGAGATTTGGATTTTTGGGGTTTTCTTGAAATTTCTTGGGTGAGATTCAAGGGTTTTTGATGAGCAAAAGTGTGCAAAGAGAGGTTTTGGTGAGTGTTTGATCAATTTTAAGGGAGATTTGGGGAGGAAAAGTGAAGATTTTGAGGTATGATGGAGGTTAGTAATGGAGGTTAGGGTTTAGGAGAAAGAGAGAAGTGAGAGCATGAAAGTGAAAATGAAGATGAAAGAAGCATACCTGCGTTTTCTGAACTGGAATCGTGCGCGCCCGTGTAAACCCTCCTGCGCGCCCGCAAACACATCTTGCGCGCCCGCGCAGACCTGTGAGAACCCTCTCACAAGCGCGAATGCTATCTACAGAAGCATTGGCCCTTTTTCAAGAAAGTGCGCGCCCGCGCAGACCTCATGAGCGCCCTGTAGAGCCTTCTCAAGGCATCTACAGAAAACTCCCAAACTTCTTCGATTTAAAAAGTTCTCTAACTCTACTAAAAATCCCTAACACATAAAACTAAAATGTTTATCAAACATTACAACCCCATCAAAAGCATACAAAAGTTCGAGTTCAAAACGACAATATTCCTATATTACAGAACTGGCTTCGAGAGCTCCCATCCCGAGATCATCAAAAGCGCGTGAATGTCGTTAATTCTCTTCATTGTGCTCCTTCCTCGGGCCTACTTCACCTACAATAAAACAACTATGGATTAGATCCAATCATAAAATCTAGGTACGAAAATTAAAAATTCAAAGAATAGAAGGGAGAAAGGGGCTCGGGTTGCCTCCCGAGAAGCGCTTCTTTTTAAGGTCATTAGCTTGACCATTTTTCCGATTCATTAAGGCTCAACAAGAGAAGGCTCGTAATCCATAGGATCAAGCCTAAGGCACTCAATACGACCAACTTCGTTCCTTGAATGATAGAGTTTGATGCAGTGTCCATTAACCCAAAACTTGTGATCGCCCACATCTAGCTCAAAGGACCCATAAGGAGTAACATTAGAAATCTTGAAAGGACCGGACCATTTGGATTTCAGTTTTCCGGGGAAAAGACGAAGTCTAGAGTTGAAAAGTAGAACTTCATCTCCAACCTTGAATTCCTTGAACCTTATCCTTTGATCGTGCCACTTCTTTGTTTGCTCCTTATAAAGCCTTGAATTCTCATATGCATCGAAACGAAGCTCCTCTAGTTCATTCAATTTCATCAACCTTTTCTTTCCGGCTTCCCCAAGGTCCATATTAAGCTCCTTGATGGCCCACCAAGCCTTTTGTTCCAACTCTACCGGGAGATGGAAAGCCTTGTCATAAACTAACCGGCATGGAGTAGTTCTTATAGGGGCTTTGTAGGCCGTTCTAAGGGCCCATAGAGTATCATCAAGTTTGAGGGACCAATCCTTTCGAGTCCAGTTCACCATCTTTTCAAGTAGGTGCTTGATCTCTCGGTTCGATACCTCAACTTAGCCTTGGGTTTTGGGATGATAAGGGAGCCATACTTTATGGTGGAAACCATATTTCTTGAGGAAGGCTTCAAGTTACTTCTTGGCTAAGTGCGATCCACCATCACTAATTAGAGTCAGGGGCACCCCAAATCTTGGAAAGATGATCTTCCTTAGAAGCTTGAGGACTACTTTGTGGTCGTTCGTTGGCAATGGTATAGCCTCTATCCACTTGGTCATGTAGTCAACCGCAACCAATATATAAGCATTTCCACATGAGGACAGGAATGGACCCATGAAATCAACCCCCCAAACATCAAACGGTTCAACTTCAAGGATACCCAATTAAGGCATTTCATCCCGTTTTGTGATGCCTCCCGCTCTTTGGCACCTATCACAGGTAGATATGTATCGTTGGGCATCACGATGCATGGTAGGCCACCATAGAATGGATTGAGAGATTTTAGCCACAATTTTAGTCACACCACCATGTCCTTCACACGGTAGTGAATGGAAATGTTCGAGCACACCCTCAATTTCATGGTCCGGGACACACCTCCGGAATATACCATCCCCACATTGTTTGAATAATAATGGGTCGTCCCAAAAATACCGCCTTACTTCTTTGAAAAACCTCTTCTTTTGCTTAGATGAGTATTGGTATGGGATAATTCCACTAGCTAGGTAATTTGCGAAATCCGCAAACCACGGACTAGGAGAAGAAGCGATATCCATAAGGGTCTCAACACCCATCTCCTCATTTATCGGAACACTTTCAACATCATTATGAGGTAATCTAGACAAGTGATCGGCAACATGGCTTTCGGCCCCCTTCTTATCCCTCATTTCAATATCAAAATCTTGAAGAAGGAGGACCCATCTTATTATCCTAGGCTTTGCATCCTTCTTGTTCATTAAGTAACGAACCGCAGCATGGTCCGTGTACACTATCACTTTGGAACAAACAAGATAGGGCCGAAACTTGTCCATAGCAAACACAATTGCAAGCATCTCCTTTTCTGTAGTAGTATAATTCTTTTGGGCATCATCCAAGGTTCTACTAGCATAGGAAATAACATGCAGCTTGGCTCCTGCTCTTTGACCTAATGCGGCTCCCACTAAGAAGTCACTAGCATCACACATTAGTTCAGATGGCAAGCTCCAATCTGGAGCTTACACTACAAGAGCAAATGTGAGAGCTTCCTTGAGCTTATTGAAGGCTAGAAGGCAACTATCATAAAAATAAAAATCTTTATCCTTTTGAAGCAATCTGGTTAAAGGTTTAGATATAGTGGAGAAATCTTTGATAAACCTCCGGTAAAAACCTGCGTGCCCCAAGAAAGCCCTTACTCCCGTAATGGAAGTAGGCGGGGGTAGCTTGGTTATTACCGACACCTTAGCCGGATCAACTTCATTCCCTCTTTTAGACACCTTATGGCCGAGGACAATCCCCTCCTCAACCATAAAATGGCATTTTTCCCAATTCAAAACAAGGCTCGTCTCTTGACATCGCTTCAAGACTTTTTCGAGGTTAAATAAGCACATGTCAAAAGAGGAGCCGCCTACACTGAAATCATCCATGAATACTTCAATTTCATTCTCCAACATTTCAGAGAAGATAGAGGTCATGCATCGTTGGAAAGTCAATGGGGAGTTGCATAGGCCGAAGGGCATCCTTCGGTATGCGATTGTCCCATAAGGACAAGTGAAAGTGGTCTTCTCTTGATCCTTAGGGTGGATTGGGATTTGGAAAAATCCCGAGTATCCATCTAAGAAGAAATAGAAGGCATGCTTTGATAACCTTTCCAACATTTGGTCAATGAAAGGGAGAGGGAAGTGATCTTTTTTTGTATTTTTATTCAACTTCCTATAATCAATGCACATTCTCCACCCGGTCACCGTTTGGGTGGAGATGTCCTCTCCCTTCTCATTCTTGAGTATGGTCATGCCACCTTTCTTAGGAACTACGTGAACCGGGCTTACCCATTTTCTATCGGAGATAACATAGATAATCCCTGCTTCACGTAGTTTCAAAATCTCCTTTTTTACTACCTCTTTAAGGTTAGGATTTAATCTTCTTTTAGGCTCAATGGAGGTGGCATCATCATTCTCAAGATGAATTCGATGCATGCACAACAAAGGGCTAATACCCTTGATATCATCAATGCTATACCCTATCACACTTCTATATTTTCTCAAAACGTCAAGCAATTTTTCCAAATCATGCCCATCAAGGATAGCATTGACAATAACCGGGTATTCCCCTTCATTTCCAAGGTAAGCATATTTCAAAGAGGGGGGAAGGGATTTGAGTTCTACCTTGGGAGGAGGCTTAGAACTCTCCTCCAATTTCTCCTCTTCTTGTGCTAGCTCTTCATGCTTAGGATCGTTCTCTTCCTCTCTTTTGGCTTCTTCAATAGTCATGACAAACTCCTTTGCCTCGTGAGAGTAGTACTCTTCCTCGCATATAAGAGCCTCAACCAATGGATCTTGAGGACTCATCATAACCCTTCCCAAACGATCCAACTCCTCACCTACCACTTCAACCCTATAACTCTTCTCAACCATGGGGGTCTTGAGTAGCTTAGAGAATTCAAAAACAATCTTTTCATCGGCTACTTCACAAGTAATGGTATTTTTTTTGCAATTAATGACGACCCCCAATGTCTTCAATGTTTCCCTTCCAAGAATCAAAGGAGTGTTCTCATCCTCCTCCATATCCATTACAACAAAATCACAAGGTACATAGATGTGTCCCACTTGAATGTGGACATCTTCAATTTCTCCACAAGGCAACTTAACCGATCGGTCGGCTAGTTGAATGGTCTTCCTTGTGGGTATCATCTCGATATTCAATTGTTGAGCAATGGACAACAGCATTAGGCTAACACTAGCCCCAAGGTCGGCTAGAGCTCCTTTGGGCTCCAAGTTGCCAATCTTGACCGGCAATGTGAAACTTCCGGGGTCTCTTTGCTTCTTTGGCATCTTATGTTGAACAAGCGCACTCACTTGATGTGGAAGTGTAATAAATTCATCCTTGAGCTTCCTTTTGTTTGATAGGATATCTTTGAGGAACTTTGCATAAGACGGCATTTGTGTCACCACTTCAAGGAAAGGTAGGTTGATGTGTAACCCTTTCATCACATCAAGAAACTTTGTAAATTTGTCAATCAACCTTCGCTCCGCAACCCTCCCGGGATAAGGTATTGGATTATCATACTTGCTAGTGTCAATGGGGTCCTTACCCTTGGACTTCTTGTCTCCAACTTCTTTCTCAACATTTACCTCCTCATCTCCCTTCTTATCTTCCCCTTCTTTCTCTACCTCCTCACTCCCTTTTGGGCCTTCATAAGAAGCTCCCGATCTCAAGGTGATCGCCTTGCATGTGTCGGGTTGTTTGAGGTTGTGAGATGGGTTTGTGTTTGGTTGTCCGGGTAGTTTATAAGAAGAGCTTAAGGAAGAATTTTCGGCCACTTGAGCTAATTGAGAATCAACCATCTTTTTGTGAGCCTTAAGCTCTTGGATTTGTTGATTCATGGCTTGGAGTTGTTGGAGAATTTGGGTTTGAGTAGAATCGGGTTGAGACACTTGCTCTTGACTCCTTTGAGTTGCTTGATTTTGATTTTGGTATTGGTGTTGACTATTTTGTTGATGGTTCCTTGGGTAGTTTCCCTTTGGGTTTTGGTTTTGGTATTGGTTTTGGTATGTTGAAGGGTTTTGGTTTTGGTATTGTGGGTTGGAATTGTATGGTTGTTGAGCTTGTTGGTTCCATTGTTGGGGTTGGTTTGCAAATCCGGGTGGTGGTTGTCTCCAAGCTACTCCTCCACCGCTTCCCCTATATCCATCTTGCCTTGTGTTGTAAGCCGCGACATGCTCCGGCTCAAACCTCCACAATAAGATGTATCGTGGTTTGTACCACCATAATTTTGACAAGAGAAAGAGTTAACTTGGGAGGAGCTTGCACCACTATTGATATTTGTATTCAACTTTGCAAGCCCTTTTGTCAACGTCTCAATTTGATGTTGTAATTGATCAACCTTCTCCAACTCATACTTTCCACCCTTTCTTGGTGCATTCCTCCTTCTACTTCCCCAAGAATAGTTCTTCACCACCTCTTCAATTGTTGCTTCAACTTGGTTTTGAGGGACTTTGATCAATTGTCCACCCGCCCCCGCGTCCAAGTTGGCTCTAGACATTGGCTCCAATCCATTGTAGAAGAATCTCATGAGTAAGCTTTGATTATATTCATGGTGAGGACATGCTTGCACCAACTCTTTAAACCTCTCCCAAGCTTCACTAAGGCTTTCCTCCGCCTCTTGTTCAAAAGATGCAATCTTCCTCCTCATGTCGGCGGTTTTCTCTTCGGAGATGAACCTTTTCAAGAATGCTTGGACAATTTCCCTCCATGTTGTGAGAGAATTAGGCTTGACTTGCTTGAGCCACTTCTTTGCCCTCCCCGCAAGAGACTGTCAGAATAGGTGCATCCGAATGTATTCTTGAGAAACTTGGTTGGTTTGTATCATGGCACAAAGCTCAAGAAATCTATCAAGATGCTCAATAGGGTCTTCACTTGGAGAACCCGAAAATTGCTCCTCTTGTACCATTCTTGAATATTGAGGATGGATGGTGAAGTTAGTTTCTGTGGCGGGTAACAATATCCCACCGGTAAGATCATAATCCTTCGGATTACCGAACTCACGAAATAAAACGTCCGATTTTTGCCCAACCATTTCTTCGCCTTGAGAGTGTGAAGAGCAAGAATCACTCTCACTATCAAAAATAGCTCCATAACCTCTTCCTTCTTCTTGATAAAGTCTACGGACTTGTCTCAAGGTACGGTTTATTTCGTGATCAATGTAGTGAGAAGGTGGTCCTTGAGATCTCCTTTGCATCCACCAAAGCTAAGCAAACGATTAGAAATGACTAGCACAATCAAATGGACAAAAACAAAAGAAAATAAGACTCTAAAATAACACAAA